AAAAATTCAAAAACTGTAACATAGAATCTTCTACTACACAGAAGAAACTGAACTCTGAATATAGCATTCGACCTTTGAGGTATTTTTCCTCCACACAACAACAGATATCCAAGAACTCGACGTCTTATACTTCTTCATCATAGAAGCATCACCCCCATCTTATACTTACACATAAGAAGCAATCAGTTGAGGAAAAAGAGTCCGAAATGGTTTTCCCAAACGTGGACTGAACCTTGGAAAAGAATCCAAACAAGTACTAAACTTCATACTTCAACCCCTTGCAGTATTTAATATCTTGACTAAATGCCCCGAAACGGGAGACACATCAAGCATTTGTATCAAAATTAGGAGAGAAATTTGTTGGAGGATGGCTCAAAGCGCGAAGCTTAATCAACTGAGCTTCCAACACCACGAGGAAGTAACCGGATACAAGGTATAAAGATTGTATCAACCTGTTTCTCAAGCTTTTTCTGTCTCTGCTGGTAAGTTTTACCCCATGGGTTCACTTGGAAACCAGAAACTAGTTGCTAGCAAGAAAATACGAGAACGCGAAACCCTGGGTGAGACCCACAAAGTATTTTATGACTTGAAAAAAAGGTCCCATTGGCTGGGGATAAATGACAACTCCTGTTGCAATAACGTATACAAGATCATTTTTCTTTGCCGATATTTTCTTCAAAATTTCCATACCCGACTCAATTAAGTCTTCCGCTGGCTATTTTTTCTTTGAGGATTTCTGACTACCGGTCATTTTTGGCATGTACATGATGAATGACCCCATCTGATTCTTTTTATCTCACCCAATTCCTCACAAAGTTGTTTCGTAAATTGAATCTGATCACGAAGCAGCGAGAAGTCAAGATTGGCAATTCTGAAAGGAGAATACTGAATCTGAATAAGGATTCCCCATTCCGAGTACCTTCTGAGTACCTTCTACGGATGCATGAAGATGCATGAGGTGAGTGAGATAATTCTCCCTCTGATATGATTCGGACATTACAGTCTCTGGATTGATCTTGTCTTGGGTCTTGTCTCTGGATGACGTACCATGTTCAATCGATTGACCAGGTGCCCCAGTATAATATGCGTCTAGATTCTTTCAGGAGAACAGATGAATGCTTTTCCAAGCGAAACGATATAAGCTGCATCATCAGGCATACTACGCCACACCAAAGAGGAATTGGACCTTTGGAAGAGACGCCAAACAGGTGTTGGGCTTTATATTTCAACCCCTTTGTAGTCTTCAATATCAAAACCGGGTATCCCAGAATAGGGGATGTATCTAGCATACACATCATAATCAGAAGAGATGTTTGTGGGAGGAAGACCTCAAAGATCAGAGCTGGGAAGAACTGGGAATACTAGGATGTTATGCATATGGGCTCGCATCAATATGCTCATCAGGGTTCTTGTGTCTTGGCTTAAAAACTTTGCCCCATGAATTCACTTGGGGAATAAAGACTGGCTCTTGTTGAACAAATTAGGAAACACAAAGTTATGGAGGATGCCCCTGATTGAAAGTATGATGCCCCGGTGTGGCAACCACATCTGACGTTGGTCAAAAATAACGAAGCACTGATATAAGATCACATAGTAAACGGGAACCATCTCCTGATAAGATGTTCTAAGAACTCCGGATTGCGTAGCACTCCATGGTTGGAAGCAATTCCCAAAAGATGAGGAGAAGAGAGAACCTTTACTGTGATAGTAGGTGCAATATTGTTGACATCGTCATCAAAGCTTTCATGACCTGGCTCATCTGAGTCTTTAATCAATTATCTTCCTGTTCGAAGAAATTTCTGACCACAGACCAAAGCTTGTAGGTATACCATATGGAGTTATTCCCTAACCGATCCCTGAACAAGTGCAATAAGAAATCAAAGCTAAACCTCCGAGGAGAACCATGTCTGAATAAGAATCCCCAATCTTTGAGTACCTTTATAGATGCATGAATATACATGGAGTGCATGAATAGATGCCATATTATGTACCGTCATTTCCAAGGAGTTTACGTGCTTTGATTTTGATTTTACGTAAGCAAAAGATGGAAAAGTTTGGCATAAGGCTTACAAATACGATTCCTTGGAAATCATAGAACATGTATGCTAAGTATGTGGTTAACCATGTTATGTATGCACAAATATGAGATCAAATGGGATCAAGGTTCCGTCATTTCCAAATATGATTGCTGCGTTATTCTGAACCATATGAATATCATTAAATCAAAGGTCCGACATAGCTTCCGCACATATAAAAGCCGCGTACTATGTAGATCTAAGTAGCATGAGATCAAGGCTTCAGGAACATCAGGTATTGTTTGAGCTTTTCTGAGTATGCTGGGAATACCAAGATCAAAGGCTTGAATGAACTTCCAAGTAAGCAAGTCAGGAACTCAGAAAATAAATCTGAGAACCATATGGTCACCAACAGAACACCATATGCATAAGTTGTTGGCAGAAGTCCATAACATGATCATTAGAACCACTAATCACCATCTGATCACAGTCTCCAACTGAGCATGAGTAACCATTTGAACATAGCACCAACTGTACCTGTAATGACAAATCCCTCCCCACTCACGGGTTAAGACTAGGTCAGGGTAAGACAATGGTAACTCGAAAATCACGGATCCGCCTGAAAGTGCTATGGGCTTACCCACAGACGTGGGTGCCGATAGTAATTCATTTGAACCTCATCCGAGCGTGGTATATGACAAGACTGCACTAATCAGACCACGTCCTATAGCCGTCATGACCCCACTCTATTCCTAGTGTCCTAGTGCACTCTGGCCTGGGTACTGGGCCTTTTACCTCAATAGTGACATCCCCACCCAACATGGAAAACAGAGTCCAGCATAATAGATAACAAATAGGGAAAGCAATAAAATGCAATGCAAACTTATGCTCAGATAAACATGTACAAATGAGTAAACTGAAAGCATAAAAATAAACACCCAAAGAAAAGAAAACAAGAGCTAGGAGCGACTCCGGGATGGACCAGCATTTGGTCAACCAGTTCCCCAGTGAAGTCGCCAGCTGAAACAACCGGCTGAAAATCATCAAACAATGAAGTCGCCATCGAACGTCTTTTATCCGACATGAAGGGAAAGGTAAACATTGAGAAAACCCGAGAAGGATGAAATCAAGGTCGAACGACCAAGAGATAAGGGTAAGGGAGTCTGTTACGTGATGGGAAGGTATTAGCACCCCACACGCCCGTAGTACTCTACGGTATCCACTCTTGTTGTCTATCTTATGGGTGTGTTTGGTCTATGCTTACTGTTTACTATATTACTGGATAATGCATGCGAAAGAAAGGGGAAAAGAATGTAGGGAAAAGAAAAGTTATGCTCGCTTGGGCCCTACCCCAATGCCTACGTATCCGTTTTGAGGAATCAGAGCTACCGTAGTTTGGCTTATGTGTTTTTGTTTGTTTGTATTTTTTACTGAACAATATTAATTTCGCCTTCTGCCGCAACTCGACCTTTGGAGACTTACTCGTCAGCACAGAAGTGAAATAACATGCTCTCTTGAAAAGTTTGGAAAGAAATGTGCCTGGACGCACAAAAGTTTGAATTTGTTTGTGTTTGTAATGAACAGTATTAATTTCGCCTTCTGCCGCAACTCGACCTTTGGAGATTTACACGTCAACACAGAAGTGAATTAATATGCTCTTTTGAAAAAGGTTTTTTGAAAGGAAGGCCCGAAGGCAAAAAGAATTTGTATTGGTTGGTATTTTTTCTTGTAGATAATAGCTAGTTGATCTTAAGGGAGAGATTTTAGCCATGTCTCTACTTATTCGTGAAATGATTCCTTGAGACTTGAACCGTACCGAAGCCTAGAATAAGAGAACAATAAGGTCGAGAAAAGACCCGCTTATCGTCTCACATACTTAACGAAGACATGATTCTCGTCAGTAAATTTTAGTATTTTGAAGTTTGAAAAGAAAAAAAAAAGGTTTTAGTTTTAATGCGAATGCAAAAGGGAAAGAAAAGTCAGAAGGAGACTAGCTTACTTCTAAACCTAATGTTATTATGTATTGTTAGACCTAAAGTTAGAGTTTTGAGGGAATTCTACCTAATGTTAGCATGCATATGGATTGCGATATAATACGAAAATGAAGAATAAAATAGATTTGCAACAATACCGAATGGAGAAGGTCCGTTGCCTCTTCAAAATTGTGCAAGCGGTAAGAAAATTCTACCAAAGTTTCCTTGAGCGAGTGATTGAAAAAATAATCTCCAAATATTCCCAATCGCGACAGATTGCATCATTACCATCACAAAATCTTGGCTAAAGAAGGTTCGTTGCCTCTTCAAAATCACGCAAGCGATGAGAAAACTCTACCGAAGCTTCGCACAAACTAATCCTCAAGAATTTCGTATCCTAAAAGTTGCATCAACATTCTACCACAAAACTTGCAAATCCCGTGAACATTCAATGACACATAAAACCTATTTCTATCAAGTTTATGATACTTTTTATAAATTTAAGCAAAAGCAAACAATTAATCAAGAACCTAATGTTCAGAACCAGCCATTAAACCACTCATCATGCCAAAGAAATTGAATCATGGATAAGGAATTGACAAGAGCATCTAAAAAAAACCTAATTCTAGCCATTTACAACATTAATTCAATTAATCCTAAAACTTCAAGAAAAAATATCATCTAATCAGAAATAAACATGTTAATGTAAAAAAAAATTCAACAAAAAAAATCATGCAAGAAACTCACAAAACTAATTGCGAAATTTAAAGAACAAAGTAAAGAAAATAGAGAAAATTGGGAGGTGTTCTGGATTAAACAGCGGTGTGAATAAAGGTCCAAAGATCATGAGCCCAAACCAATAGCCTTCAGATTTTTTTCAATTCATTTACTATTACTTCTGATTTTTTTATATCAATTATTAAAGAAGAAAGAAAAAAAAGAGATAAAATTTAAAACAATTAAACTAAATGAAAAAAAAAACATATGAAATTGGAATTAGGGTTAGAATGTAATGCTTCGCCCTTCTTCTTCTCTTGCGAGCAGCGGCGCGGCTACTCTCACCATCTTTGACTTCCAGTCACGGAACCTCCGTCTGTGCTCTTGAAACCACGACAGCGACCCACTCCCGCTCTCATCTTCCTTGACTTCGTCGCCGTCTCTCTGTGCTCCCATGCGCCGTCTTCTCTTCTTCTCCGATCATCGATGATTCCGTCACGGTGGTCGTTTAAATGCCTTGCCGTTTCAGTTTGCTTCCTCACACATCTGGTTTGTCTCAAATTTCGTCTGCCTCTGTTCGTGACTTCGACTCATGATGCAATAGCCTCACTATTTCAAACATTCTCCGGCGCCCCTTCAAAGCTTTAGCGAAACCAACAAGTTCAAATACAAATCAGTAAGTCTTCCTGTCTTGTGCTTAATCTTTATTTCTTATCACTTTGTTCATGATTTTGTTTCTACTCGCTATGTTCACGATCTTGTTGTTGTGTGCGTGAAGCCGAGAGTAGGATGAATGTTGTTCTGCAGCGACTCAGAGATGAATCGGTGATGAGGTTGTTGCATTCCGCGTTCTTGTTGATGAAGCAGAGAAGATTACAGTGCTTATGATCTTGTTCACTGAAGATGCAATGATGAATTTCTTGATGATAAAAGGTTGAAGATGAAGATTCAGTTCAGAGAGTTAGAAGATTTGGATAATGGTGATGAAGGTGCAGAGAGAGAAATCCGAGAAACGAGACTCAAAGCTCAGTGATGATGGTGGAAACTGCAAAGAATGGAGACTAAAGGGAGCATTCACTAAAGATCAACCGGGACCCATTTGATATGCTTTTGACAGTGTTGTAATGACCAGAAATCCAGTTACAAATCAGGTACGTCCTCCATTCCATTCTTCTTCCGTTCTTGCAATTTTGAACAAAGTTATAATGTTGAAAACTTGGTAATGATGGTTGAATCTGGACTGATGTGAGGAATTGATACTTTACATTTGTTTTTGCAGTGAGAAACGCGATGTAGGATTGATAATGATTGAAGCATCGAGGTTGTGATATCCAATTTATTGAAGATGAAAGAGGGTGACGAAGAGTAGAGTAATTCTGGTGAAGGGGCGATTTAAAGAACATGAAGATGAAGTTGATGAAATTCGATTGGAGGAGTAATTTGTGGTGGTTGCAAAGAAGAGTAAGAACTGTGAAGAAGTTTCAGAAGATGATGAAGCAATATTGATGATTATGCGATTTCAGAGAGAATTGGAAGGTGAGTTTTTTTTTGTGTTGAATCATAAAATCATCCTCCTTCAACTGAATGATAATCTCCCTGTTATATAGATTTTCTGCTATATTGTTTAGAAGATGGGATTTGGTTAGAAACTGTTTAGAGTTTGTTAAGAGTTTGTTTGGGGTTTGTTAGGACAGTTAGAAAATCTTGTTAGAAGTTATGCAGTGTTGTTTAGTTGGGTTAAAAGGAGTTAGTTAGAAAAGTTGGCATTCTATTATTGGTTCGCTGGTGTTGTACCCCAAAATTTACCCTCCCATTTCCCCAACATTTTCTCATCACAAGACCTTTGAAGATCAAGCTCCAGTTAGGGTTTCCTCTGCTCAAGACTCCTCCTTGCATTGTTAACCCAAATTAGGGTTTGTGTTTGAACAAAGATGTTTTGACCTAAAATGCCTAAGATGACTTTCATGCTTCATATTGGACTCCCAAGTTTATCCATACCAAGTTTCAAATCTTGATTCCAAATTTTGCCCAGTCAACTGGACAGATGACCTAGAAATCAGCTGCATTGGGGAAAAAGTCAACTGTGGCCAATTGACAGTCAAAACTCATGAAAATTGACCCACATCAACATTATGAACTCACATGGACCATTTGATCAAATTTGGATCACAATTCCACAAGAAATTTGATCAGATCATCAAAAGGGCAAAATGGTCATTTTTAGGGTTTTGACTGCACAAGGTTAATTTTTGACTGTTTGACCTAGCCAATGGCAAACCAAGCTCATACATGGACTCAAGGACTCAATGAAATGGTTTTGACACATTCATCAAGCTCAAAAAATCCCAAGTACACAAGATTGACAGTTGAATTTCCCAGTCAATTGATCAATTTTGACTGTATACTGAAAAGTCAAGCTTTGACTTTTTGGTCAAAATCAAGAGTCAAGATCCATTTTTCATCAAAACATGCCAAATCATGAAACTTGTTCACCAAGAAACCAAGAAATGCAAATTAGGGTTTGAAATGGAATTTTTCATAACTTAGAATTTTTCTAAGTTATGGAAAACCCTAATTTTTTCCCAACTTTGCCTCACTTTTTCACCAAGATTCATTTGGATTCAAACAAAAGTCAAAACATGAAAGTTGTATCTTGTTGCATAATATACAACTTTGATTCACAAAGTTTTCCAATTTGAGGCTTGTATCTCAAGTTACAAATTTTTGAATAAGGGCACTAAACCATTCATAACTTAGTGAAAATTTGACCTATTTTGACAAGGTTTTCTACCTAACTTCAAGGCCATTTTCCATACACTTCCACTTGGAATTTCAATTTGCATTTCAAAGATGGATTGTAGTACACATTCCAAGATTTACAAAATGTCCAAGAACTCATCAAACAACCTCATGGTTAGGGAGAATCGAATTTCACAATATGGCAAAAATTCATTTTTTGTTCTTGACTAAAGCATGTTCATAACTTATGCCATTTGCAAGTCAACTTGATTTGTGCTGCATTACAGGTCTTTAAACCATCCAACACTCAATAATTTAATGCATGTTCATTGTGTTAAAGTGTTGTTCTATGAGTTTAAGCATTACATACAAGTTTAATCCATTTTTAGATAAAGCAAAATAGCCATTTTTGAAAAGTTATGCTTTATGTCAATTGGTAAATCAAGAAGGTACAGATCAAATCTCTTTAGCACAAGATTATGAACAAATCACTCTGATCAAGAGAAGCTTTGCAGCAGGATTAGGGGTCCTCTACTTACCTAGAAACACAAGTTGGCTTTTGTTGCTTAAGAAAGAAGAAAAGTGTCATAGCATCACACAACTCTCATTTCCTGTAAACCAAGCTTAGACAAACTTATCAAACACATTCCAAAGATCAGAACCAAGCTTTTGCACGACCCTAAAACCTCTCAAACACTCCCAATCTCAGAATCATCCCAAAACTGCCAAAACAGAGTGACCTCTGCAGTTTGAGTGCCAACTTCTTTTTCTCTCAAGCTCTCTTGCCCAAACCAGTTCACATACTTTCCCTACCATCCATACAAACTGTCCAAGGCATTAGAAGCAGACTGTAACACTCCTAACCATCATCACCATTTTCATTTTTCCATTTTTGCAGTTGAAGTTCTACATCTCAGTTCAAGGTGTCTCAAGGCAAAGTAGATATTGGAACAACATCACCACACCTCAAGGAAGCTATACCAACCAGTATCTTGCACTGTAAGCTCCCCATTTGCCAGTTAGAACTTCAACTGAACAGGTACTTTGGTGAACTTCTATCTCTCTCCTTAGGCATCATTAGCTCTAAGTTTGTGAATAAACAATGCTCTACTCATACCACTGAACATGTACATGCTTTTACTTTTCATTTCTTTTGCTTGAGCTGTGAGAATTTAAGGTTTGAAAATGGCAGAAAACTTAGGTTAGGATTTGGGATTGTTAAAATTCTCTCTCATTTCTGAGAGTTAGGAGATGTTCTTTATATATTTGGAATCGTGCTTTCATGCTTAACATGTTTTGTGTTGGAAGTTTGTTCAAAAAATCAAAGAATCAGGATATTCAAATGGAGCTTCTTGCGCGCGTTTTCTGAATAATTTTTGTTCAGAGGTTGAAGAAAGGTGGCTTTGGGCTGGGCTTGCTTTGTGTTTTCTTTTCACACCACTCAATTGGTTTCACACCCCCCTGAGCCCATTGGCTTGATTTAATGATTTTTTGACATTTCTTTTTTATTTCTGATTCATTTATTTTTTCTAATAATATTTAAAACTTGAAAAATCATTTTTACACCATTTTTGCATTTCTTAAGTATTTATTTGATTATATGGACATTTATATACAAACATATATATATCTTATTATTTAGAAATATTATTAATAATGTAAATATATTATATTTCTGATTTTTTGCATTTTTATTTTTTCCTTTTGAAATATTTGTACAAAAAAATACTTTTTTTTATATATATATAAAATTAAATATTATTATTTTTGGCATATTTAATATATTTTTTAAATAATATAAATATATAAGTCTATATTAATATACTTAGGATAAAAATGCCAAAAATGTACATATTTTATTTTTTAATATTTAATGCTAAAAATACCTTTTTTACAAATGTACTTCTTTTTATTTTACTTTTTGTGTATAAATGACAAGCATTATATATTAACCAATAAATACCTTTTATTTAATAAATTAGGGTTTTTAACCCTAAACATGAAAAATTCTCAAAAAAATAATACTTTTCTTTTATTTATTTTGACACATAAAAATACTTTTTTTTCATACATACAAAAACCATTTTTGCATCTTGCATATTCATTCTTATTTTATTTAATTTGTGCATTTAATCATCTTGTAAAATATTTCAATATTGATGTAATAGTTTTAGGTTTACATTACTTGTCAAAATCCCCATTTGAACATTTGTACCCCCTTCCCATATTTGGTTTTGTAATAGCTTAGTAAATTTATTTTCGCGCTTTATTGCTTTCTAATTATGCCATGTTAGAATTAGGGTTTGTATGCGAAAAAACGACAAAATAGTTATGACCTAATCTCAAGACAAACAAGCATGAAAATGAACACACAAATCACACTTGCACCCCTAGGGTATTCCACTTTGTTGCCTTCAAATAATTAGACCATATTGCATGTCAAGTCTCTTTGGGCAAAACAAACAAACCAAATGATCATAGTCCCTCGATAACATTTTCAAAATACTTCTAAAACAAATGATCAAGTCCCTTAAAGAAAATGCCCAAAGATACTTGGCACCATTGCAATTATGGTCTAAACGATGACCCGCGCCTGTCCCCTTCACATCCTAAACATGAGATTGTCCACCAAATGCAATGGTGGAACAAACTTATTAAAAAGGGTTTAAAACATAGCAATAAACTTTTGAGAAATTTAGGAGTAGACAACCCCTTAGTTACTTGAATCCAACTTGCAAAACAAAACACTTGCCTATTTCAAAAACCACACATCACTACACTTTCAAAACAGCTTTCAAAAACAAATGAAAACCTTTTCAAAAGACATACATCTTTGTATACATCCCCACATGGATCATTACAGAGGTTGCCACCACATTGGCTTCTTTTCAAAACATTTTCAAACCCACACACACACAAGCACCATTTAAAACAATTGAAAACAAAAGGCAAGTGATATAAGCAAGTAACTAAGAGCCCATGGATAACCATGGATAGAAAGGGTGCTAATACCTTCCCTTTCTATAATCTACTCCCCGAACCCAAGAAAACATCTCAAAGGTTTTTGCTGTGCTTTTTAACCTTTCCTTAGGATAAAATAAAAAGTCGGTGGCGACTCTTGCTCAACCGAAACATTTGCGAAAACAAACACAAAACCTCAAGTCAGTTCTCCCACCGTATCACAGAACTGGCGACTCTGCTGGGGAATACTTAAAGTGGAGTAACCTTAGGGCTTAGATCACCTTTGTTTTCAATTGTTTGCTTTGTTTGCTTTTATATTTGTGGGCTTTGCATCGGAGTTTCATAGATCCTAACCCGGATCTGGGAAATACCCTTTTTAGGTAGCATAATCTGTGAGGGACCTGTCCGGCGTAGACCGGCATGGGTGAAGCAGTGGCTACGTTGGTGTGGCATCTTAGTCTGTACCTATATCCCTTGTGTTGCAACGGGGAGAATATAGGTCTTCTAAGGAGTCATTAAACACCAACCAACCTTAGAACCTTAAATTGACCAACTTGGCTATTAGGACAGTAGCAGTATGCTACACTCATTGAGGCTAAACTCTCGAGATGGTTCTGGCCGCGAGAAAAGATTGCGATGCTGGAGTTATGACCGATTGAGGGTAGCCAATGATTTGAGATCCTCTAGAACCCGGTTACTTTTG